CATAACTTAACTGTGAAGTATATCATAAATGGATAATTAATAATATCGTATATCGTATATGACTCGTATAATAATATAACATTTAGCTCATGTAGTTGGTGACCTAAAGTGGTGGGGGGGCCCTGCAGTAACTCATAGCCCCGGGGCCCAGTGAGCTCTTAATACGGCCCTGCTCACAGCAGTGTAGTACTGACAAAAACCCAATGCACTGGATGATTCATCTATGAATAAGACTGGTGAGTTCCTACATTTACATATAAAGCAAAACACTTATCATACCAAAAAAAATAAATAATAATAATCAACATGTTTTTGAGGCAATCACTCAAGTCATAATTGCTTTGTGACTCACTCAGCAGCAGGAAAATTATGTCATGACAATACCAAATGGCCAATTACAAACCCTTCACTAGTAATTATCCTGAGCTCTGATGTCAAAGACAGCAGACAGGGAAAAATATAAGTTTCATACTTTCATATAATTTCTTACTTCCAAGAGGATCATGTAGTGGTGAACATCTAAAACAGTGGTAGCTGTTAACACTGATTCATGTCTAGTTGTTTAGAAAAGCTATTTGGCGCAGGCCCTGTCCTTAGTCCAAATCCTGGGGGATGCAGATTCGCCTGGTCCTGTCTGAAGGTAAAGGTAAAAAAGCAGTCACTGGAGTGATACCTTTACAAAAGTTACACTTTTGTAATCTTTTGAAAAGGTACCACCCCAATGAAAGCTTTTGTACCTTTTTTTTTTTTTTTTTTTGAGAGTGTCGCCACGACGGATGGACATGCAGGGACCGATCGGTGGTGCGGACGATCGAGAGAAACGTCAGAGTCATCAATTTCGAATGTAAAACAGAGAGTTCAGTACCTATATACTCCAAGTGTTGAGTAGTGATTCCCATTGTTTTTCTATTGTGCCAAGATCTAAAATATGTTTATCAGGTAGAAACTGAGTAATAAAAAAAATAATTAAAACAAATCCTTATCCAATTAATTGCCTTGAAGTCAAAAAGGTTGAGAACCTTTTATTTAATAGAATAGAATAATGTAATAGAATAGCATTTATAATACTGCATATATATACTGTATATATATATATATATATATATATATATATATATATATGTGTGTGTGGGGGGGGGGGGGGATTTCTCCCTTCCAATAATTAAATAACAAGATGGGAGGGGCTAGACAATAGACAGGAGAGCACATGGCACAAAGGAAACACATGACAAGCCATGTGCTCACAATAAACAGAACTAGAACACAAGCACATCACAAACCAGACACTGTTACAGTTAATTCTGAGTGGCTGTCAATGGAGAAATTGGCTTTTAAAAACCAGAATATGTAATTATGACCATCAGGGGCAAATGAGTGCATGATGTGATGACAGAATTTTCATATTTGGGTAACCTATACTTGCTGAGTCTTGGATAAAACTAACATCACTGATTCATAGTGTTCCATTTTATATCACGATATATCAACAAAACCATCAATGAATACCAATATCTAAATCTAAAGACACAACAGGCAACTTTTGCACTTTTACATTTTGTGATTTGAGATAACGCCTCCCTCACTCAAAACACACCATTTTAGAAAACTTGTAATACAAAACAGTTGTCCTGAAGTACTGTGATTAATCAAATGGGGAAAGCGTGGTCACATCTAGTTAAATATCTACTGGTTAAACTGGATTGTAAACACTTAATAAAATAAATAAAATGGGAATAAAATGCCACCCACAAATGTTCAATAAAGTTAAATGGAGCATGCATTTTTGAACCAGGGAAATGTTTATGTGATGCATTACGTAAAAAATTCACTAGCAAGTTCAGTTCAGTTAAGTTCAAGCTCTTTAAATCTGTCCCTTTTGGAAACATTAGTTCAGTCATGTAAGCAAATGCAGCAACACTATGTTTTCTGTTTCAACAGATACTTGTCAGCGAGCATCACTGCCATCTCTACATCTCTTCTCTCCTTTCCTCACCTCTTCTGTGGCAGTAAATTGAAGATGGCAGCTTTGTGGGCACACTAATAGGCTCCAGAGTTGAGTGCTGGGTAAGGTGCCGCCCCCTGGCCGAACTGTTCCCATTGCCTTCTCTCCCAAAATCCGGTCTACTTGCTGCCATGCATGAATTGCGAGCCACAGGAAAGTTAAAAAAGAGGAGTCTAAATTAAGTGCCCTTTCATTCCAACATTTTCATGGTTTGGCTAAAAACAGGGTGCAAGATGATTCACATTTTATAAGCCCTCTCTTGCGGCCGCCTGCGTCACCCTGGCGCTCGGACTCTACCGCTCGTTCACACATCTCTCTCCTTTTCTCTCTGTCCAGTCCTTATTCATTATCTTCCCTAGTGCTTATATACGCTTTAATGAATGGTTAGCAAAATACATCAACAACATGATGCATTTTTTAATTTTAAACAGTATTAGGCTAATTGACAAAAAATGTAAATACCTGTTTACAAAATGTTTGCCGGTGTCTGAATTAATAAATCCTCAATGAAAAATCATCTCTCTGGTTTCACTGGTGTTGGTTTTTTCGTTCCCTGGAGATTATCCTGAATGAACAAGACAGTCCATAACACCCCGTAGGATAGCAGATGCAGCCTAACGTTCATGCTTTTAGCAGAACACAAACTTAGTGGTTGGAAGAAAAAGAAATAGGAAGGGGATAGACATTTCTCTAAACAAGTCTGACAGCTACTACCATTCTGACCACTGTCCATTATCATTTCCGCATCATGGCCTGGCAACTGCTGCCAGAATAAACATTAAGGCAGAGGAACTCATATGGGTGAAGGACACAGATGTGCAAGGCCTACTGGACAATGAGCTGCGCCTCAAACTCAAAGCCTGTGTGTTGTGTAATGCTGCCCTCTGTTATTCATGAGCAGTTTTGCAAGGCACCATGAAATCTAAATTGACCATTCATATTTTTTATGGAATATTGCAGTATTTATTATAAGTGATTTATCCATGCACTCATAATCTTTAATCAAAATAACTCCTTCAAATGACATTTTTTCTCTCATGACATGCCAATGTCTCTCTCATGACTCTCAAAGACAATACCAGCACTGGCAACAAACAGTACATTCCCACCTCCCAGATCTGAACCGAGGGGTGGGGGGGGACAAACACAGCCCTTGGAGGCTGGTCTAGCCAAAGCGGGACGGGGCTGCCTCCTCTTCACTCCTGGCACATCAGGAGGACTGCTTGGGCTGCTTTTCAGAGTCCTCCAGTATCCGCGGGTGAAGGCCCTCATGCTTAGGAAAGAGGTAGTGTTTGGCACTCCGAGCACACTGCCTAACCTCAGGGTTTGCTTTGGTCTGGGTCCGGGCAGGTGATGGCGTCAGCTTGGCACGCTGCTGGGTTGAAGAAGACCAGGTGCAAACAAAAGTGGCTGTTGATGGAAAAAAACAAACACAAATATGCAGATTAGGGTTCTTAGTCAACTCTTTATGTACTTCTATCACATAAGTTGAGGAAAAGCAACTTTTTTCTTTCCTCCAGAATGTCTTCTGTTGAATAATATTCAGTTTCTGGGTGACTCTAAATTAACATCTAATAAACATCTATCATATCTTCATCCTGATCAGGCCAATCTATTTTTAGTTTCCAGGAAACCGTGCTGTTTTAGACACACAGTTTCCTTGTAATGGTAGCAGGATGCAGTGAACTACACATATGCTACAATATCTCATGACCATTTACAGAGGATGCTATTCCACGGAAAATAAAAAGATCCACCACAAAGACATGGTAATGAATTACATTCCATAGTTACAACTGTACACAGACTGACTGAACACACTCTCCCAACCTCCATTCATGCCAAAGCAGAAGGAAGCACTGGGCAGTTGGCGAGAGGAAATGGCGTGGCTGGTCTGAGGTTTGGTGGAAGAATGGGAAGTATGCTGTTGTGGTGCTGGTCAGACAGCAGGCTTTAGGTTTCCTTACCACAGCTGCCCTGACCACATCTGTCCTTTGCTCTCACTCAATCTTCTCAGCCATTTAAGCTATAAAATGCTTCCTCACTAAATACGGCTCCACCCAACTCTTAAACTGTCTACATTAAAAGAACACCCCCTACTACACCCACATAACAGTGAATTAAACTGGCTTGTTCGGCTGTTAAAATTGTTAGAACTGCCCAGCCAGCTTTTTATTCACATGTTCTGATGTTGTTTGTGGTCATCATTGGCCCTTTATGAACAAGCAGGAGAAAAGGAGCAATGATGAGATGGAAAATGTCCATGCAATTCATTTGCCTTTTCAAAACCTTTCCTCTTACAAATAAAGGTTCTTTAATTAATGCCATTTATGTTTTTTTTTAAGTGCTTTTAAGAACTGTTCATTGAAAGGTTCTTTGGGGAACCAAAATTGGTTTAAATATTTCTTAATCATTTTAGCCTCTAACTCTTATCATATTTCTAGGCACACATTTTATGTGGGGTGAATGTCATATTACACATTATATTATAGATCAGACATCATGACTGAGCTACTACCCTAATACAGTACAACAACATCTACCATGTCCAAACCTAAATAAACAGTACTTAAACAGAGTTAAAGTAAATAATCAATTGATATACACAGCATTATTATCTTCTTCTAGCATCTCAATATTTCTTGCTTATATTTTCTCCCAAAAAATATGCATTTTTTGCATTTATAATTGCTACATTAGTGTTGCATTCATGTAAATGCATATGCTGTGCTTAAATAGGCTGATATAATAATGATAACATGAGCATTAGACTATTTAATTTAAATTTAAATATATCAAGTACATTTTGTGACAAATTAAAAATTCTGTTTCAGTATATTTCTGCGCAATAAATTATTGAACGATGCATTGTTATAATCTACAACCTAATTGACTAAACCGTGCTATTGACTTTTAATAATAATATGGACTTTTATTAGTGATCTGGTCAACGGAAACGGAAGTTGGTCCTTCAGCATAATAAACACGTAACCTAGTTCACACCGGTTCACACTTTAGTTCCTACAGGAAACGCACAGTCCCTGATTAAAAACTGATAATTTCGATAAATTGTATTCGCGGTCGGAGGACAATCAAAATGACATTATTTTAGTTCGTTTTAAATACGTAAATGTGCTTCCATTGATTTAGTGTAATGTATCACGAAAGCCCACAACATTAGTTTTCGTGTTTTTAATTTCTTGGATAGTGTTGTCAATGTTGTGCTTTTCGTGAGTTTTCGAAAGGCACAAAGAAGTGCAGACCTATGACTAACGTACACAATAACATGTAAGAATCCCTGTCAGCCGGACTACTCTTCAGCACTACTGCCACTTCTGTTGCTCCAGCAATCACAGCGATTAGACATGGCTCATGATTTCCTCCCAGGCATGGAGAGCTCTGCTATCTCTGTCCTGAAGAGAGCTGTGGAGCTCGATCATAGCTCACGCTTTCAGGAAGCTCTGGTGTGTTACCAGGAAGGGATCCAGCTCCTGTTGGATGCCCTCAAAGGTATGGACATGGAAAATGTGCTCTTTTGATGGATTTAAATGCTACTCTAAATATATTCACTGTTTTCCTAGCTGTTAAAGATGACTCAAAGAAGGTCCACTACAGAGAGAAGATCAAGGGCTACATGGACCGAGCGGAACAGATCAAAGACCATGCAAACAAACTGAAAGAGGGTAAAAAGTAGTTTAAACCAGGAATTTTAAACTGGGCTCCAAGGACCACCAGGGGGCCACAATAGAGTGCTAGTGACACTGTTAGGAAAGGTTACTTTTAAAAGTAATGGGTCACAATATTTCATGGGGAAACGAGAGGGCTCCGTCAATAAACTGGAAACCAAAGTCACTTGATTTGCTTGTTTTAAAAAGTAACTCAGTTATTCTGTTGAAAATTAAAACAATTTTGCATTACTTTACTAGTTACTTGGGGGATAAAGTAATCTGATTACATCTCGCGTAATCAACACTAGTCTCGAGTAGCCAGACCTTCAGACTGACAGCAGAAGGCTTGGACTCCATAGAGATGTTTGACATTTACTTTGTGGGCCGACCGACAGTTATCATCACGCTGGTTCCCTCGACAAAAAAAAAAAAAAAAAACAATAGGATTTTCCCACAGGCTTTTGGATTATTGTTAAAAACAAGCTCTGTGATCAACAAAACTTTATGATACTTGCAAGTTTTGTCCATCAAGATAATTTTCACAGATGAACACAACTTTTATGAATTTTGAAGTCTAAATGCAGTCGCCAGAAGTAAAAGCTAAAGGTAGGCTATAAGCAAACTACACCACGGTCCCACAAATTCAACGTCATCGACACTAAACTTCCGACGAGTCTTTCATGTCTTTTGTACATGGAAAAGTTTTAGAAAAACTGTGAAAAATATGTTTTTTTTTAAAAAAAAAAAACATTTGATTTAGATAAATAATGAATACCATTTTAATTAAAATTATTTAATGCCAATTAATACTTAACACATATTTAAAATATTACTTGTTCACAGTATAAAGCTGCCTTTTAAACTTTAGAGTGTGGATGATCATATGTGGGACTTGGTGGAATCTAATTGAAACTCCCTGGTTTTCTATTACCTTACTATTAATTTTCCTCATTGTAATCTCATCTGTCAGAGGGCAAATACCATGAGCAGATAAAGATAGCTGACAGTTCCACTGGTTTCAGCTATGAATCCCTCTTTAAACCATACATCAGAGACGGACTGACTGAAGTCTGGGTGGAGGACCCCTATGTACGGCATGTCCATCAGGTAGAGACCACACAGTGATGCTCCTAGATTCAGGATTCAGTCAGTAAAATGCTGAGATACTAAATAACTATTACTGAGTGAAACGCATGACAAATGTTTTGCTTTGCAGTTATATAACTTTCTTCGTTTCTGTGAAATGCTGCTGAAATCTCCATGTCAAGTAAAGACGATTCATCTTCTGACCTCACTGGATGAGGTAAAGTTTTATCATTTTGTTCATCAGTGGTATAATTTGACATACATTGGCTTAATAATGTTTTTTTTTTTTTAAGGAACGCTCCGCTCCACAAACCAGTGCCCTGGCAGAAATAAAGCAGTCGCTACAGTGTCAAAATATCTGTCTAGATATTCAGTACTCATCTACTATTCATGACAGGGAGATCAGGTACATCATTCTCATTGACTGTATATCACCGTAAACACATTGGGACATGTCTTAACATTGTCTCAATCATGTTAATTTTGTTTCCTCAGGTTTAATAATGGTTGGATAATTAAGATCGGCAGGGGACTCGACTATTTCAAGAAACCAAAGGTACCATCTAAATGAATCTGCCATAATCTGGTTCATTAAGCATTTACAGTTCAGAAATGAGTGCTTGCATAATAGTTATATACAAATGTAAAAATGTTCTCTTTTTTTTTAAGGGTCGCTTCTCTATAGGATACTGTGATTATGATTTGAGAGAGTGTCATGAGACTACTGTGGACGTTTTTCATACTAAACACACTAAGAAGACTTCATCTTAAAACGCTTGCCTCTAAAGCTGCTCCACTGTCTGGCATATGTATGGGACTTAATTTCAAATGCAGTCCTCACACAGCTACCTGCACGACTGGAAATGTGCCATTTTGAGCTTTTTAATTATGCGGAAGAACTGTTTTTATCGTCTTTTTTTTTTATAATGTGCTGATATGTATTGCAGGGGAATATACAGAGGCTCCTGACATCTACTTGGTTCATTGCTTTACTCTGGTGTTTTTAAACATTCTACACACTGATATTGGTGTTTATTATCTGGTGCCTCTGTAATTATGCTAAAAACCAAAGTTCAGTTGTAAATAAGTGCCCTAAATTAAAATGATTGGTAAAAGGCTATTGTTTTTACTGACTATGCTGATTTCGATTAAATCTATATTCTGTGCAACAGCAGCGCCATCCCGTGTTTAATGGGTGAACTTTCAGTCATCCTGTGAAAGCAAACGCTTTGCCTTATATTTCACCTTGTGCTCAAGTCTCAACGTCACGCATCGCTTGATATGACGGTGTTTCACCTCCACCGGCTCAGTTAAAGAGCAAGTGAATGCCAGAGATCACATCAACCTCACTTTCTCCATGATTTACATCACCATGTGAGTTTACGCTACTATATATTTGTATTCAGTTTTAGGACTGTAATGTCAGTCGTGTTTTGATTTTAGATATTGTTGTGGTGGTTACTGTAAGTTTTTGTTTAGTTTTTTAACTGAAACTTTCTTAATATATGCTATTGTGACGTGCTCACTAATTTTACAAACCATAACCTATACTGTATTTTATGGGTTTTTGAATATCTGTTTAAAGTAATATTTATATGGGCCACTGTATGGGACATTCAAACTAAACGCTTTGCTGTTTGAGAAGGGATAACGGAGTGTTGTTGACTAATGATGTTGATTTCAGCAGAAGAGCAGTGTTGAATTTGTTTGCTTGGACATGTTTGCTTGAGATGCTGCTTTTGCTTGTCATATTCGAGTCCATTAGTTACAATGAAAAACACGCATGAATTCCCTGCACGAGGAGATTAAATTAATAATCGCCCTTAATCTCGACTCGATATGTGCTCCTCATCTCGGTTCATGAAAAATATAGAGCGTTGTGTCTAACACCATTCACCTCTCATTGGGACAGTCAGGAGTGATGATCATGATGGGTGAATTTCATGAAAGATCCGGGACATATTAAGATTTATTTATTTTTTTCAATTAAGACATTATTTTCATGAGAATTAATTTTATATGTTTTTGTTGTGTTTTAGTAATGAATTTAGTTGTTTATAAAACAATATATATTATAAATGTAAACACTTCTAGCTTTTATTATCATTTTACTTGGTAAATCGTGTACTTAATTGTCCTAAAATTGTCACACTGCGACTAATTTTATTAGTGGTAAAAAAATATAATTTCTCATGATTTTAATGTGAAATTTTTTACCATGAACATGTATTTGTGAGATTACACCTGATGATGATGATTTGACTACATGCCACATGTGTAAATAATATTTATAATTTAAAGTTGTTTATATATATATATATATATATATATATATATATAACAACTTTAAATTATTTGGGAGGGTTTTTTTTTTGTCAGAATGAAAATGTAAATGCAACATTTAAACAAGACAACAATATAATATTCAAAACTTTAACAAAATCTAAAACGAATATTTTGACCAATAAAACAATAACATAATTTGTAATGAATAAATTGTATACAATTACATAATTAAAAACGTGTGACAACTTGCCCTGAAATTCATGAAAAATACCCTAAAATCTCAGTCACAAAAAAATATTATGTAATTTTAGTTGGAAGACTGAATTCACTAAAAAAATCTTATTGTCATATATATCAGATGCAAAAGCCTCTAAGTGCCATTTGAAATTTTCTTCTAGAATGATCATTTTTATCAAGCTTGTATATTTAAGTTCAGTGATTTCACTTAAATGGCAATGATAATTACCTATTAATTGTTATTTAAGTGAAATTACTGAACTTAAATATACAAGTTTGATAAAAATCATCATTAAAGAAGAAAATTTCAAATGGCATTTAGAGGCTTTTGCATCTGAACTCTTCATATATATATATATATATATATATATATTTACACACACACAAACATAAAATGTAGCACATACACTAACCAGTGTGCAATTTGCTTCAAATATACAAATATGTACAAAGTAAATGTTATATAGAATATTGCATTAATATATTTCCTTGTCTTGCAATAATTGGAGGAAATGATGTGTAGCTTCAGCAGTAGTTATGTTCATTGGAAGATCTGGTTTACATTAAATAAAACATATGTGCATATTACTTTTGCACCCTCAATATGCATGTCTGAATATAAAAATGTATATTGACAGATGGATTATATTAAAGGCCAGACGCATAATGTAGGCTGGCTGAAAGTCACCCAGATGCTGAGCTGACTTTTGTCCAGTAGGAGAAAAGGAGAGGGATTTGTGGCCAACTCTGGGTCCTGACACAGATTTATGCCTGTATCTGGGGCAAAGCTGCTCTGTGTTTTACTGAGCGCCGGATACAAACCGTTCAATCCTCAGAGATAATGGGTGGTTAAATGAGAGTGTCACAATTTTCAGGGTTAAAAAGTCAATGATGGAGAGACGTACATATGAGAACAATGGGCTGAGTTTTTTTTTTTTTTTTTGACTATCAATTGTCTGTCTTTTCTTTATCTCACCTTTTAAACATTTCAAATAGGCTGTAGCCTACTTTCCCAGTTACTTATAGTAACACGCAGGAGGGAGTTGAGAGCTCCTGTGGTTGTCTACACGGAAGAAAATGAAGCACATCATCTGCTTAACTCCTCTACATCACCTAACTACAATTTTAAACATGCTTATGATCTCAGCATTACAGATTAGTTCAGATGCTGATAGGTTTGTTTAAGCAGTTCTCAACTGACTAGTCTAACCTGATAAATATTATTAATAAAAATAAAATGCACTAACCACGTATTGTTAGAACTGCAAAATAAATATGCTTATCCGAATATATTTTAGAATGTAATTTATTTCTGTTATGGCAAAGCTGAATTTTCAGCATTTTTATGCCAGTCTTCAGTCACATGACCCATCAGAAATCATTCTAATATGCTGATTTGATACTCAAGAAATATTGCTTACTTTTATTATCAATTTGAAAACAGTTTGCGCTGCTTAATATTTCTGTGATACATTTTTGCATGATTCTGTTTCAAATCTTATTGGAAATGGGAATCTTTTGTAACATTATGCATGTTTTTACCGTCACTTTTAATGCATAAAGGAATTCATTTCTTATACTAATTGACCTCATACATTTGAATTGTAGTGTGTACAGCATAAGCAAACAAATGATATGGTAGTGTATTAAACAACCATATCAATTTTTTGCTTAGCAACCTTTAAATGGAATGACATTGTTTAAATGATTTGCATACAAAAACTGAAGTACTCTGACGTGTTGATGCAAATGTATGACACAGCTATATGACAGTTGTTCGTTGTCTTAGTGATATTTTCAACAGTCTCTTATCATTTACAAACACAACAGATATATCAGACGTGATGCTCTGGCTACCTGCAGTATATAGGCTTGACTCTACGTTCAATTTTGACCAAATAGCTTTCTTATGCGTATTCTATCAGCACACACACACACACACGCACACACACACACACACACACACACACACACACACACACACACACACACACACACACACACTCTTGCTGGTCTAGTGCTGGTGGTGTGTTATATTGTCTTCATCAGCTCTGCATTCGGCCAGCAGCAGCATACTCTCGCTGCTCCAAAAGCTGTTTAGTGTTTTGTAAGAGCTTAAGCGTGCAGGAAAATCATGAATTGAAAATGTGACAGTTCGACAGTCAGCGTGTGTCCAACTCTTTACTAACAAACATCGATGCTGCTCTTTGTCAGAGCCTGTTTCTTTCTTGCTTTCTCTTCTGCCAGCTCATATCTGGATTTTGCTCTTGTTCCAAGCTCCATCTCTCTGCGTGTTTGTGACTGGGGAAGCATTGTCATGGTTCATTGGATGTAAGGACCTGTGTTTCCATTAAAAAGCTAAATAACACAGAAAAGAGGAAAAAGAAGGATTCTCACTGACAAAGTAAGTATTTTTCTTGCTTAATATTATTTAAGTATTATGCTTTGTTGGCAATTACAGTATTTCATCGTTCATATATTTCATTATTATTCTGAATATAATATATGAAATACTTAAGCAGTAAAGTCCACAGAAATATTACCCTTTTTTTCAACATTGATAATTATAAATGTTTCTAAAGCACCAGATCAGCGTATTAGAATGATTTTTGTGACATGTGATACTGAAGACTGGAGTAATGATGCTAAAAATTCAGCTTTGCAATAACAGAAATGAACTACATTTTAAAATGCTTTATAATTGAAAACAGTTGTATTAATAGGACAATTTATAATCATATTAATGCAGACTTTTGAGCATAAGACACTTTTTTCAAAAACATTACAAATCTTTTTTCTAGTTTTTGGTCCCCTGTTTTTCTGCCACTGTGAACATAAGGCTATTTTGTAGTTGTTGGATTAGTGCTCAGGGAAATCTTACAGTGATCTCTATGAAATGTCTTCCAGCAAAGATTATCTTCATATTTCATATAATCTGTGTCTGATGCTACTAGTTGATAAGGCAGTGACTGCTTCCACTATAAGGAAAAATGTCACATGTTGAAAAGCTGTTACATGCTGATTATGTATTCATCATTTTTTTTTTATCCACTGCATAGTGTGCATTGTTTTTCCCCCCAAAGGTTTTTAAGAAAATCTCAAAACCACAAAATAATTAAATTCTGTGTACCCAAACATGAAGACTTATGTTATTTAGACTTGTTTTAACTAGGGATGCACAATATATCTGTCACCACATCAGTATTGCCCGATATATGTTCATATTAAATGTTATCATTATCGGCCTGATAAGAAAATTTGGCCGATATATTAAAGTCGATAAATAAAAGATTATTTCTTTCAGCTAAGACACTTCAGGTGTACACTTTTCATCATGATGGTTTTGAATAGCTTGAAATACTGTATGATTGTAATCACTTAAAAAAAAAAATAGGAAAATACAGTTCAGTTCAACATGTGCAGCGCAAGGTCTGTCAAATAGGCTACATCAAATTATAATGAAAACTTGTGTGCTTGGTACATGGCTTTTATGGTGAGACTTTTGTTTTTGTAATCAGCTTCTCAAAATGATATCAAAAATATCGGTTATCGGCTTTTCAATTTTAAAGAATTACCGATTATCATATCGGCCAAAATGTTCATATCGGTGAATCCCTAATTTCACAATAGACAGCGGTCTTTAAAAGGGAAAGACTGAGTGAACTTTGCATGTTTTTTTTTTTTTTCTGATAGTGCATATCTGCATCATCAAGGCATGGTCAGTGATAAGAGGTTTGTTGTCATAATAAAGAATACAGACGCACATAAGAGTGAATAAGTGTGACACACATACTGTCACATGATCCTTCAGAAATTATTCTAATATGCTGATTTGCTGCTGAAGAAGCATTAAATATTTATTTGTTGCTGCTTAATATTTTTGTATAAACCGTGATACATTATTTCAAGATACCTAGATGAATAGAAATCTTGAAAGAACAGCATTTATTGACATAGAAATGATCTGTAACATTATAAATGTTTTTACTTAGACTTTCAATTTAATGAATCCTTGCTGTATTATTTATTAAAATAAAAAATATGAAAGTAACATATATAATTGAAGGTATAGTGCAGATAAAAGCAGTCGTCTGGTAACGTGGAAAATATGACTGCATAAGAAACCTTTGGTCTCTGTTGGGTTGAGAAAAGCATTCTCTTATCAGATGCCTATCGCAATTTAGCCATGTTGCCACATCAGAGATATAATATTCCTCAAGTATTTCACATTTCAATAGATTAATCTTTTGCTGTTGTCCTTTGAAAAACAACTCTAGTTTGTTGTGAATTTAAGAGAAACAGTATTTAATAATTATTGAACTGTAATTTTCTACCATTTTTACATTTCCTGTGACAATTCCGCTGATGATTTCTCTACCCCTCCTGTATTTTTCTTCCACTCCTTCTCATTCTATCTGATTTCTGCATAACTGTCCTCATTAACAGCTGTACCGGTAAAGATGAATGTTCCGGAGGCTTCAGGAGACCCAGAGGGAGAAGGCAGTGATGACTTAACAGGTCAGAAGACTGTTCTAAAAAAGAATGAACCAGTATATGTATATGTCTCTTTTATTTAACTGAGTTTAATGTAATAAAGAAATGAAGCTAAAGGGATGATCTGTTTGATGTTTAGGAAGGAAAAAGTCTAGATTAAAGTCTTTTAAGTCACGCCTGTTTGGGAAGATAAGGAGGAAAGAGGAAGTCGGTGGTATGAAGCAGAGTCAGTCTGAAAGTGATATCACATGGGGTGTAGAAGATTCAGAGTAAGTGTTCACAATGATTGTCAGCATGCATGGTCACTTTGAAACCACTTAAAGCTCACCCTTGTGTGCTTATTTTATCGAATGTGCACTTCAAATCTTAAAAGTAGGCCTATGTTTAAAAAAAACTTTTTGCAGATAATAGAATATTAATACAATAAAAAAATGCCTCTTGAGTATTCTTAAAGATGGTTGACGGTTAAAAGTTTTTAAAAGTTTAACTTTAAAATACATTTTTAATCATGGTTTAGTACTCTTTTGTTGTGTTTTACAGAAGAACACTTATTTTGATGTCTACTAACATACTAACACATGTGATGTGCTTTATTTTTAACTGTTGTTTTTTTTTATTTGATATTGCAATCAAAATTAATATATTTTTAAATGTGTAATTACAAATCTATTTAAATAAATGACATACAAGTTTCAAAAGAATGACATTAAAGTACATTTTAGTTTACCACAAATGCCTGTCAGTACATTACAGGACACTTTAACCATATTTAAAAGACAACATTAATTATGTAAAAAAAATTGAATTTAATATATACTGTATGTAAAATACAATGCATTTTTATTTAATTGCAATTAACATGAAATGAAATTAAGTGCCAAAAATATTACAAGCACATTCTTTTAAACTATATTATTTCCACAATTAGTACTACTTTGCTTCTTACATCTTTTCTTCAAAGCTGCTCCAAAGGCATGCTGGGATCTTGGGCATTTTCACATGACAGCATTTTCCAGGCAGAACATGGTCATTCAGACACTGAACCGCTAAGAATTCTGTCTCAAGAGAACATTCATGGCAAAATTCAAGTTCTTCAGGTGAGTACACTCGGTAACGTTTGTTCGAGGTTAATTATTGCCCACTTTATAAACACATATCAATGTGATTGACAGCAGACTTTTTGAAATAGTTTTTATTAATTTATGAATACAATGGAGTTGAAAGGTCACTTTTTCGGTTGATCAGATGAAACTCCAGCAGCAGAAGATGCATTTAGGCCCTCCCTCCCTTCTGTTACCCATGAAACGTCGTGAAGGCTTAGGTGGAAGTTCAGAAGATGACTGCCTTCCTCGTAGCCCCCCTGAAGTGTCCCGTGGCGAAGGACTGTGCATCAGCGTATCGAACAAGGTACTTGTACTGTAATATAGCAGCAGTATGCGTATCTTTATTGTGACGTATAGTGTATTGTAATGTACGTATGTGTGTAATTGGTTATAAATCTGCACAGCTTTGGCACAGCTTCAGACATCTGCATAAATTTGTGATTAAACCTATTATACATTTTGTGTGGATACCAGTTCTTGTCCTCATTCCAGTTTAAATATGTTATTGTGTTTGCATTTTTATATTCCTCGCAATTTCACCTCTGTGTTGACATAATGCCTGGCATTCATACATCTATATCATGGCCTAAATGTAAATGATTTATATGGTCTAAAATATTGTCTAATGTCCCTTTTAATTGTGTGCTTCTCTTCCTCTTCCAGGGCTCTTCACAGCCTCTCTCTCCTCATCCTATAAGCCCAGCACCTTCACCTCTTTCCCCACTTTCCCCTGGCTCAGGGGTAGACTTCAGCACCCCTCCACAGTTGACGTCCCTCCTGGACAACTCTGCTGCCCGTCACCGTATGTCCCTCAAACCTAAGAACCAAAGGGCCAGTGCCAAGAACAAGAGGGTAATCACTTCAGTGAGTATTTTTTATGGCCCTTTCTAAACCAATTATCTATTTTTGTAAAGCGCTGCTGCAGTGATCATGTATTTTAGTAGGCATCACCCTGGTTCCCTTGACAAAAACCCAACAGGATTTTCCCATTGGGGTTTTAATTATTGTAGAAAATAAGTTCCGTGACCAACAAAGGTTTATGATTCACAAACATTTTGTTCATAATGATAATCTTTGCAGAATTAAAAAGCTATGGTTAGGAAATAAACAAACTACACCACTGTCACACGACTTCAGCGTCACACCATTAAGCCTCAGACAAGTCTTTCAATCATTATTTAAAAAGTTGTAACGTTTGAGTTAAAATAGTTTGCAAGAGCTTGATTATAAACACAACTAGGTTGTAAAAGCCATCACAACGTTTTAACAACCCATTAGCCACTTGTTAGCAACTTAAAAAAATTACGACTAATATAACTGATGTTTTTTTTTTTTGTCAGAGGACAAAACTTGAACGTAACACAAGCTTGTGTTAAACACAGACCTTATCCAAAAACCCATTGTCTTCAGGATGATGGAACCAGAAGTGTAAAAATACTATCTAATTTACGATTTTTACTACTTATTCCTGCAGCACTAATCGATTTGGGGAAAAAAAATTCTTTTCCATAAAACAGTTCATATTTAATAGATATTGCTTAAGATTTTGACCGATTGTTTCCTCTCTTCCTGTATTTCCTATGCAGACTGGAAGCAGAGCACGATCTGAGAGTTTGAACAATCTGGACTGTTCATTGACTATGAGGGAGGAAGAGGAAGGGCTGGCTCTCGTAAAAGAGATACCTCGAGCTCACTCTTATTCCTCTCAGGTCTTGCGCCCAGGGGAGAGGTTTACGGCTTCACAAATCAAGAGTTTTCCAGTTTCATCTTTAATGACTCTGCAGACTGCTGGAGATAGTAGACGAGTTTCTGCTGAGCCTGAGCATGAGAGAAAAATCCTGTCCAAATCCCCTCCGAGCCCTAGCCTAAGAGATATGACTCCAATTGAGTCTCCAGTAGCCAAACTACCAATCCCAGTGGTGCCAATTGATAGAAAGGGAAAAGGAGAAGCAAGTGAGATGCTCAATAGCTCCAAACTTCACAAGAACAGTCAAAGTAATGTTGTGTCAACAGTAAGCCCAGCTGTAGGACCAAATGTGAGTACAACACCAGAACCAAGTCATGTGAAAGATGAGAAATCGAATGCTATGCTAATACAGACCAAGATGGACACATTGAGCAAATATAGTTTTCAGAATGCAGTAAATATAGAAAATCGTCTGGCCTCTACTTATGCTCCAAGCAACGTGTTTTGTGAAGTGAATGTAAGACCATCGTCTTTGAGGCCAACTGTTCCATCTACAGATGAAAAACAAGAGTCCAAGACTCTTCAGCCAGTCAGCACAGTGTCGGCTGTTAGTCAGGAAGATCACTCTCAAACAGAATCCATAAAGCGCCAGAGAACTGTGTCTGGATCATTCCACTTCAATGTCTCCACAGATAAGAATCAAGAGCGGCCGAGGACTGCAAGCTTCACTGGAGTAGTTGGGCAAGCTGGACTGAAAAAAGAAGCTACCGAACCTACTAAACCTTCTTTAGATTTCAAGATAGAGCGGCAGGTAAGTTCACAAGTTGAGAAAACAATAAAAAACCCATTTGCTAACTTACCACCAGTATCAAAGAAGGAAGACAAAATAGACTTTGATCCAGTGATACCAATGGAGGAGAATCAGGACAACAAGATACATGAGATTGGTGTAGAGGCTACTGAGGATGTGATGGAGGACATGACTGCTGGAATAGAGAGGGAGACTACAAATGCATTTGGAGTGAAGCTTCGCTCTACCTCTCTTTCGCTAAAATTTCGTTTGGACAAAGCTCAATCAGAAGACAAGGCAAAAGGCCACAGTGTTGAAGTCAGTTTGCTGACTCCACCTCAGGCCTCACAGTCTGATTCAACCTGCAACATAAAAGCAGAAGATCAACACACCAGCCCGGGGTCTATAAGACTCCATACTAAACTCAAAGACCCTTCTCTCCAAACCAATGAGTCCTCAACCTCAGTTCAGTCCTCCAGTTCACCACCCAAGGGTTTCTGTAGAGACAAAGAGAGAGCTGGATTTCTCAGACATACTGGTGAGTTTCTTTTTTTTTTTTGGTTTCCCATGGTGCTTGAAGGTTATTCATCTTAATTACTTAGTTAGTTTGCAATTATGACACATGTGAACAGCTACAGAACATTATGAGGATGATGTTCCAGGTCATACCAGGGAACAGTCAGTGTGCTTGTGCTGCTTTGTTTCAAATGTTTAACTTTGCCCATCTGACTCTGTCTGTAATTACACTGATAGTGGTTACTCAACTGAGTAAACAAATGACAGATTGTGCTCATACATCTATGTTCAAGTTATACCTCTTCTGATCAAACTGACGAATTACATTACTAAATCATTAAACCAATAAAGTCCGTATTATCTTTATTCCTTATTAATGATTAGTCGATTTTAGTATCATTTAAATAGAGTAGCGATAAGCAGAAGAGCCCAGTGAGTAGTGATACATGATTATTACAAAAATAGCTAGGGAATCGTAAAGAATTTAAGAATTCTGGTCTCTTAATGCTTCATTACAATCCAGTAATTGTCCTAAACAATAAAGATTGTGGTAACCCATTTATCCACTTGTTAGCAACCGCCTTTTTCAAGGCACGTAACAGCTTAAAAAAATCTTGAGTGGGGTAATATTGATGTATTTTATGCCATAGAATAAATTGTGAAAGTGTCTTGAGCTTGTGTTCACCACAGACCTACTGTATTTCAGACATTTAACCAAAACCCCATTTAAAAAAATCTCATTGACTTCAGGATGATGGAACCGGAAGTGCTAAAATGCTAACTTGCTCTGCGTTTTGGCCTACAAGTGATGTTATACTGTAGCTGCACCACTCTATAGTCTTTTCTATCCTTGTGTATATTCAAATTAAACAATTAAAAAATGAATAATAATCTTTGTTCCAACCCTAAATAAAAGGGTTTGAATTCAAATCTTATATACTATACACTATGCACTTATACTATGCACTCATCTGTCTAGTGTTTGAATTTTATAAGGATTATTTTGTCATCCAACATCAGAGTCTGATAGTTCCCCCTCTGCTATTTAAGGAAGTATTGAGAACATGAAGTGTCATTCTTTCACACTCGATTCGGGATGCTCCTATAGAATCTTTAGCTTTGTTTGAGAGTCTTACCTAATTTCACATTCACCCATGTTACCCATTTTGGTCGGATCACCTCTTTCCATGCAAATGGGTGGTTTCGACTGAAATAAGCTGCATGGTATTCTGATAAATTGATATTCTTATGTATTTTCAGAACCTCCTCAGCCCTTACCATCAGCCAGCAAAGACATTAAGATTGCACCTTCACCCTCGACAGAAGGTACTGACCTGCATCGAGAAGAGACTACAGCAGTGTCCTCTCAGGAGAACACACCAACATCTACAGCTTCAGAGGTGTCCTGGATGGAGATGGCCAGAGAGAAAACCAGAAGTCTGCAACAGCTTTTTACCAGTAGACTGCCTGAGTTTCCTAGTTTGCAATCACGGCCAACTACCTTGACCACAACACAACCACAAATGCAAACATCCACTTCACAAGCCAATCCAAGAGTCGCTCAGAACATTACAAGCCAGCCGACAGCTACACAACCTCCTTTAAGACCTACAGAAACAAAACAACTGCCATCTGCACAGCCATCTGGACGATCCACACAATCTACCACACAGTTCACTCAGACTACAGCATCAACAAGCCAAACTTCAGCAAATTCAACTCAGACAACCACTAGTCAATCTCAAATAGAAAGCACCAGAGAAGTCCAGTTTCAGTCCAAAACTCAAATTTGTAATTCAACAACAAAACCAACTCAGTCTACAGTTACATGTACATCAAACGTACAATCCACCACTCAAGCCGTACTCACGGCATGTGCACAAGCTTGTGCACCACAGTCATCACCACTACGAGCAGCATCACAGACCTCCACACAGGCTATACTGCGTCCCACACCTCCCCAAGGTTACCCACATTTGTCGTCAAGCCCAAAGTTAACCTCCCACCTAGTCTCCCAACAGTCTGCCAATACTGTGTCAAAGGATCAGCCTCAGAATGAGGTGGGAGAGCTCATTGTAATCTCAGGGAAAGCTGACAGGGCGTCTGTGCCTCAAGGCAAGGGGACCGGGTTCGAGGATGGCAGACCAGTGTGGGCAGCAGGATTAGGAAACAAGACCTCGCTGGTGCAGCGCTGGGAGACTCAAACAACTGTTGCAACCAAGGTATCATACAGTATTATGCTATCTCCAAACATTTATTCAGTCATATATTAGCCAGAGAGTAAACACTTACTACAGCAAAAAAAAAAGAATAACTCTCAAACTCTAAATCTGATTCAATCATGTACATTGGTTTCACATGATGGAAACATGTTATCTCTACTCACATTCTTCAAGTAAGATGAATCAATTTGATTGAATAAGTGTTATTTAGCATATCTAAAATTACCTAATTTATTATTAATAATACACACCTCATATATTATTAGTAATAATTAGGGCTGTGCAAAAGTTAATTGCGATTAATCGCATCCAAAATAAAAGTCTGTGTTTACATAATATATTTGTGTGTGCTGTATATAATTATTTTGTATATATAAATACCTATGCATGCATGTATATATTTAAGAATTATTTGCGCTTAAATTCTGTATATATTTATAAATACATAATCTATATTATATAAATATAAATGAAGAGTTCAGATGCAAAAGCCTCTAAATGCCATTTGAAATTTTCTTCTAAAATGACCATTTTTATCAAGCTTGTATATTTAAGTTCAGTAATTTCACTTAAATGACAATTAATAGGTAATCTTCATTGCCATTTAAGTGAAATTACTGAACTTAAATATACAAGTTTGATAAAAATCATCATTAAAGAAGAAAATTTCAAATGGTGTTTAGAGGCTTTTGCATCTGAACTCTTCAAATATTTCATATATGAATAACACATTTTATTAAATATATAGATGCATGTGTGTGTATTTATATATACAAAATAATTATATACAGCACACATAAATATATTATGTAAACACAGACTTTTATTTTGGATGCGATTAATCACAATTAATTTTTGCACAGCCCTAGTAATAATACATGTGATTATCATGGGTGCAAAAAACAACACATTTAACTGAAGAAATTAAGGAAAAAAACCCACATGGGGTCACTAGAGTTTCAACTGTGCTGAATTCACTTACACATTTCTCACATAAGCACCATGGATGGTATTGTATCTTATTCTTATGCTAGAAACGAATAAAAAGAACTGCAGCAACAACAAAGTTCATGTGACAAAGTCTTTGTGCAAGACTGCAGGGTGTTTGATTCTGGACAACTACCTCTGATACCTCTGTAGGTTCATTATTTGAATGGCTTTTGCCAGGACATGGTGAAAGGTGTAGTGCGTTCCACACTTTCCTGTCATACACGTCATAGGATATACACGTCCTGTCCTTTCCACTTGCTGTAATAGTCAACTAAAGTGAGTGTATACCTGCAATCCCATGCAGGTGCCTAACTCGAATAGGCCGACAACATCTAGTTTTCCCATGGAGCAGTAAAAAGCAGTGGTATGCATGGGCTGAACGGGAGAGGCAGATGTGTTTTGGCATTTTTGTCATAGGCAACCAATACATGTATTCAGATTTCCTTTTTAATTATTTCAATAGACAGGTGAGCAGAAACCCCCATCAGAGTCCCGAAGCCCATCTCAATCAACAATTCCTCTCAGACCGATCTCAAAAGTCTCAGGTACAAGCACAGGATTCGACCCAAGTATGCCAACGCGTAAGTGTGAGATACAACATGAGTTTTACATGATTTCTACAATTCAGTTAAATGCTCATACTTGGTGTTGGTATTTCTAGAAGCATCAGTCTCTTCTGTTCCCATGAGACAAACAGACAGAGAGGATAAATGGCAGCAGAAACAATCATCATCACCTTCATCGTCACCTTCATCATCTCCTCTGCAGTCTGTTCGTGACAGTGCCCAACCATCCTGGATGGAGCTGGCCAAGAGGAAATCCATGGCATGGAGTGACAAGACTATGGACTAAAAAAAACATAATAAAAACATGGAGGTAGAGTTTACAAATGCAGGGTTGAGTCTGTGTATACCGTTGAAAAGGAGGATATGAGGACATCCATTGAATCCAAAGAACTGTACTCAAGTTATTGGTTTGTTGATGTAAAGCAGTGTGGTCTTGATGAACCACTGTTGGTTTTGTAAATTCTTGAGGAAAACTTGAACATTCAGCAGTCATTTATCTTAATACTGTTTGCCTTCTACCTTCTCTTGTGAGCTGCTTGCATTAGTATGAATGTATGCACTCAAAATAGGTACCAACATTTTTGGAATGAAACAAAATAAAAGGGAGAAGTATACTGTGAGCTATGAAGCCACATTCTCTTGCAACACTGGGTTAACAGCACAACAGAATGCAGTGAATGTAGATCAGAGGTGGACAGAGGAAATCAGAAAAAAAATTCAGGTTCAGACTCAAGCAAAAGCACCCCGAGTGCTCATAAATAGAAAAGTTTGGTATGTTTTAATCACTCACACGTGTGCAAACACACACACACACCTGTACATGTACAGCTATAGAATTCTCTCCCATGTGATATGTTGCTCATTGTTTCTCAGGATTAACCATTGTTTTCTTGTGAAAATGTTGTTTGAGTATTCGTTTATTTATTATGTCCTTTCCAATTACCCATTTTATTTTTTTCCTTGAATTCCATCCAGTAATTTGTATATTTTGTGACATCATATCACCTGTTTCAGACAACTCTTATATGTCTGTTTATGTTAAATGTTAAATTATTTGGCTGTAAAGAATAAATCAAAGTATTTGGAGCTTGCTTTTCAAAATATCAACTAAACTTAAGCCAATAAATTCAACATATAGTGACTTGTGATTTGTAATGTATCATAAAATTAATATAAACACAACAAAATAAATATTGTTAAAATAAAAAAATGAATATGGAATCTACGTTAAGAGACATTTTCAGGAATTTTCATTTCTGTTTTTTTATAATTACCACATTTGAAATGGCAAATTACCAAACAATGGATACCATGGTTATTTTTTTTTTGTATTAACTGAATACATTCAATTAAAATATAATAGATTTTTCTTAAATTCTTTGTATTTAGTGATGCCAATATTGACTTTTATACCAAATATAAAATGTGTGTGTATATATATATATATATATATATATATATATATATATATATATATATATATATATATATATATATAAATATTCCAAATCACTACTAAATGAATAGAATTTAAAATAAATTGTTTCATTTTTGGTTCTATATTTTTTTTTGTGTGTGTGTGTAATCAACATGGACTTTTATGCCAGTTTTTTTTTTTTTTTAAATGGAATACAACAAAATTTTGGATAGAAGGCATACATTTGGAAATTATAATATGCAGTGCTGGTCAGAATTATTTGCCCCCTTGGTAAAAATGATTGGCTGTAAAAAAAAAAAAAAGAAATGCATTAATCCTTTTGATATTTTATTAAGAAAAATAGCAAAAAGCTCACCTTTCATTGAAGTAAAAGAATTGAAATTATGGGGGGAAATCACATTATGAAATACATGTTTTCTCCAAAACACGTTGGGAACAATAATTTGCACCCTAGTTACATTTTGCAACCTCCCTTTTCCAATATAACCAAGAGGTCCTCGCTGCAGTCTGTAGCACGATGACGTAGCTGGACGGTCCAATACGTGTTGGACCCTGTAACGCGCGCATGCGCACTAGTCAAGTCAAGTCATCTTGATTTATATATCGCTTTTAACAATTTAGATTGTTTCAAAGCAGCTTTAATTTAATGTAACAGATTGTTTTTGCTTTATAGCGGTTCATGAATAATGTAATTTTACAGCTAGTTAGTTTTGATTCTGTCGAAATGATCATTTATTAAATTAGGGGATGACACCGTTCTCTCTAAACAGACTTTAAACGCGATCCTGTGATAAACGCTGATGGCACATGCACATTAAGAATTCATAGGCCTAGTTAGAGAGTTGGTGAACAATCGTTGATCTTCCAAGAATACATTTAAATATGGTCACGAGCGAGCTCTTATTTTCAGAGCTTTCAGAATAAAACTTTTTTTTAAAATAATAATTGCGACTTTTTCCTTACAATTGCGAGTATAGGCTACTTTTCGCAGACATTATTTCTCAGAATTGTGAGATATAAAGTCAGAATTGCGTGAAATAAAGCCTCAATCGCATGTTATAAAGACATAATTGCTTGAAATAAAGCCTCAATCGCATGTTAGGCCTATAAAGACATAATTGCTTGAAATAAGCCTCAATCGCATGTTATAAAGACATAATTGCGTGAAATAAAGCCTCAATCGCATCTTATAAAGACAGAATTAGGTGAAATAAAGCCTCAATCGCATGTTATAAAGACAGAATTAGGTCAAATAAAGCCTTAATCGCATGTTATAGAGAAAGAATTAGGTGAAAGAAAGCCTCAATCGCATGTTATAAGGACAGAATAGGTGAAATAAAGCCTCAATCGCTTGTTATAAAGACAGAATTGCGTGAAATAAAGTCGCAATTGTGTGATAAAGTCAGAATTCTGACCTTTTTTCTCGCAATTCTGAATGTATAACATAAATGCGAGTTACAAGATTTATTTTCCCCATGCTGTTATTATTTTAGCATTTTCCTTACTTATTCATCAATAATTACTTATAATTATTTAACAGTATTATACTACAGAGTTTGAACATCATCTCAGTACAATATTGAGCTTACATATTACTTAAAACCAATGCATTCGAATTATAATCAGAGATCGGCACTGCGCATGCGTAAATGACGTCACCAAAACACACATCCATCCACTACGTATTTGACCATCCAGCTACGTCATCGTGCTACAGGCTGCAGCGAGGGGTGTCTCAATATAACAGCTCTGGGTGCAGTTCTCAGGCGGTCCAGATGATGTCGCTGTTTCAAACGCAACAAAGTTACTGTTCACATCATGTAACCAGTAACGTTACGCCATAGTTGCGAAACAAACATGTAGTTTGAAAGGGCACAGCGCTAGTGAATCTGAACAACACTATGCAACTACTTTATCTGGTCATTGCGGTAAAAACACTATTATGTGTCAGTGACAGTTACACCATCAGAAGCTCGGTTTCATGGGCTGTCACCAATGATGTGGTGGACGAAGAGCTGGACACGCACTCGGACGAGGCGCCCGCTGTCCTCGTCGATAACATTGGGATCTGGAAACAAGCCTATCCGTCCTCTGTGTACAGGGACGATTCAGAGAAGAAACCTGACCAGATATCGAAAACCGAGGATGTGTCATCCGCGTCCCGTGTGTTCTCATACCGCATGGAGGAGGTGAAGGCGAAGGCGCCGTCCAGCGTTCCAACACCTCCGCCGCACGAGGACACGGCGAGGGTAGCGCGATACATGGCGCATTACAGCGACTGGGGTCACCTGGCAACCATCTCCACGCAGGAACAGGTGATGTTTATTTATTTACTGTGGTGCATTGAGTGACCTAATTTCCCAGTAGCCCAAACTTTTGTTGCAGACTTGCAGCTCTGTTCTAATCATTTCAGGTAATGTTACGTTGTCAACATAAGGTCAGTGGTTCTCTACCAGGGAAATGTTTCCCAAACTGTTCCTAGAGCCACCCACACACACACACACACACACACACACACACACACTACACCTTTTGCTGAATTCGGAATTAGTCCAGTCATTTTGTGCAAAAAAAAAAAAAAAAAGGTAGAACAAATTTCAACAGAAGCAAGCTTAAGCTCTTTTAATAATGTTGCAATATTCCATAAAAAATAAGAATTGTCAGTTTTGATTTCATGGTGACTTTAATCCTTATCCAGTAAATCACGTATGACTAGAAATGTCATGGAGCCTTCGAAGACTGTTGTGGACAGAAGGTTTAGAAGCACTGTATTCAATCATGCAAGCACATTTACGTAATACATGTACAAAATGTCTTTAATTTAGACCGTTTTATTTCCCTATTTAGATTAAAGGACTTCCATTTGGCAACATCTTCTCTGTCAGTGACGGTCCAGCTGACAACAGCACTGGCGTTCCTTATTTTTATGTCACACCGATGGACAACACTGTAACAGATCTTCGCAGCTTCCCTTATGCCTCCTTAACGTTTTCTGAGGCAGAGGGGGATTTTTGCAGGTGTGTTTACTTGCATATATGGTTTTATGGCAACTGGCATCTTTCGCCTTAGTCACTGAATGTGCTTTCTATACTCATATTTTCTTGCAAAAGGACGCAGGTTTATGACCCTGAGGACCCCAGATGTGCAAGACTCACTTTGACTGGTAAAATGGTGGAAGTTGGACCAGATGAACTTGACTTTGCCAAGGAGGCCATGTTCTCCAGGTAATATGCAAATTGTAAATCATACACACAGCTGTGAACTGTAACATGTGTATTCTGTTTGTTTTCACTGTTACCCATGTTTTTCCTAAGTTCCCTATTATTGGTTTTCTAAGTTTTTAATTAGTTCCTGCACCTGTTCTTTTTTTTTCATTGTTTACTCTTTCTGTGTATTTAAGCCTTCGGTTCTTTTGGTTCATTGTTTGGTCTCATCAATGATTAAACGATTAGTTCACTTCAAAATGAAAATTTTGTTATAATTTACTCATCCTTAAGTTTCTTTAGTTGACAGAATTTAAATTTTGAAGCAAACTATTCTTTTAATGCCTGTTACACATTGTATGATTTTGAGCTGTCCCAGGTGAAAGATGACCAATTGTGAAGATTTCTAAATGTTCTATGGTCTTGGTTCTTAAAAGGTGGTATTATTGAATAACACAACATGGCAATAAAACTTAAAATTACTTAATGACCATTTCCATAGTCTTTCGACTGTGACTTTTTTTTTTCTTTTCAACACACAAAAATCACAAAGTGCCAATGATTGTTGCTTTATTTGTTTACTACTAGCACATGCTGATGACGTTTTAATCTTCTATACTAACTTGTCTTGCATCATGGCCTATACGATGATTCAATAGGTGCCATCATTGTACAGTCTACATATGTCGTACTCAAGTTTATTAGATTCAGGTTGTACACTGTGATTTGTAATGATCTTATAGGATTGCTGAAATCTGTAGTTGTCTGTCATAAGTGTAGGCATATATATATATATATATATATATATATATATATATATAATGTATTTGTATTAATTTTTGTGTGTGCAAATTTTTGTGTTTTGTTAGGCATCCTGTTATGAAGAAGTGGCCCCCTGGACATAAGTGGTTTTTTATGAAATTGGTTTTGCAGCAAGTTTGGCTGCAGGACTGGGTTGGAGGAGTCTCTGTCATTGCGCTTGAAGAATATTTCAAAGCGACACCTTTCTGAGAATAAACGGCAGCATCCTATAATGAACAAGGTACAAGCAGAACTGAACTGATTATGGACAGAAGGTGGTTATGTATTTGTTACAAACTATTTCCAACTAGTGTTTTTTTTAGTGGTCATGATACCAGTTCAGTGCCTCTGGATTTTGTTCCAAACGTGTTCCTGAGGATTTATTGAATGTATGAATTATTTTCGAGGAAGCCTAACATAATCAATCGAATAATTCCCCAGTGCCCCAATTATGTTATTTTAAAGATTTCCTATTTTTAGAGATTTGTTTTGGAGGCATGCATGCATCCCAGGTCAAAAAACACTTTACTTTCATTATTCAAATCTGTAGGTTTTTACTGGAAGTAAGACTGGAATAACTGACAGAATTGTTTCAGGGAGTTCCGGAACTTTTAGTTTTTTTTCATGGAGAAAAAAAAACACTTCATTTGTTTCACTTTCACTTTAAACTTTTGAAACTTTGCAGACATTTTACATTCATAAACACCTGAAAAAGCATAATGGGCACTTTAAGGTTGGAGACTTTATCACATATATTCTAGACACTGTATTGAAAGTAAAGCTATTAATTCATTTAACAAATATTAAAATCACTTATACTTAACCTTTCTACCATAGGCCTTCACAATGAAATGTGATTTCTATGCTAAATACTTCCGTACACAAAGAAAATGTATATATAAATATTTGTAGAGATTTTTTTCCTGTTTTCTCTGAAACTTGACTGGTCTGATATTTCATTTACAGCTGAAGTGTGGAATACAAGTTGTGTGTGTGTGTGTGTGTGCAAAAAGAGTTTTTGTCCGTTGTATTCATGTCATCTAATGTCATTTCAGTTTCAGTTTTAGCTCTACATTTAAATCTCAACAGTGGCTTACTGTACAGTACATGACCTCATATGTAATCCTACCTAACACAATTACAATGTAATTGACATCTTAATGAAATGTCGATTACACTTTATTTTAAGGTGTCTGTTACAGTGCTATTATACATTTAGGTACTGAGTAATAACAATTAATTACATGTACTTACTATAAGGTTAGGATGAGGGTTTGGTAAGGCCTGTAATTATGCATAATATATAGCTATTACTACAGTAACTACAAGCAACAGGTGAAACAAGGACACTAAAATAAAGTGTTACCGATCAAATATATGTCTGTGCCTTGCATTACGACTTCACCATGATATACATGTGCTGCACAAATAAAATAAAAACAAAAATAAAATATTGTGTGGAAAGAGCAGTTTCTCATTTTGCGGTTTGTGTTTTAGATTTGATGTAAATGAATAACTATAAATGTAGTATATTTAAAAAAGGATTGATTAGAGTAACATGATTATATAATACAGAATTAAGCTTAAAATAGAATTGCTAAGAGACTTCAGCAAAACTCTCTTATGTAACACAGTATCTGGCTTGAGTAAAAAAAAAAAAAAAAAGATGCCAGTTATTATTAATCATCGCCACTTCATTCTAAAAGATTTCAGCTTTATCATCAGCCTACAAGTTCTCATAAACCAACTGTTTGGTGAGACACACTTGGAAACTGTGAGTCAACAAAGAGTAAAAATAACCACATAGGTAGCACTGGTTTTAGTTACACAACAAGAAACAATAAATATATGACTAAATTTGCAGGCTTTAGTGGTTAAAAGGAAGAGACATGCATAGAAATAAAAATAGACTAGGGAGACAGAGTGCAGTCGATGAAAAGACTACGTCAATGAGAGATTAGAAAAGACGAAAGCAAAAGGATAGGCTTAAATACAGACTGCAATTGGTCTGGGTTGCAGCAATACCATTTTTGATGACACTACATTACAATAACAAGAATAGGGAATATAAATAAAAATATATGAGAGATGGTTGCATACAATAAAGGTTCAGGCCCACAAACTATCAGTGATGGGGAAGGTCAGATAAGCCAATCAATTATTCATTAAATGTGTGTGCCCTCTGGTGCCCACATTCAGATAGCATACATGCACATCTCAATATGACAGATGACTTATGAGTAATATTATTATATGAGTAGGATAAGTAGGCTATTCTCGGGAAAGTAGAAATTAGTAAATTGTATGGCTTGCAAAATGTATGGGTAACTTACATTTTTAAAGTAATATATAAAATGAAAAATGTCAATTCCATTGTATGTATTCTTCCTAATAATATTACTTACTGTAAAAAAATGTATCACACACACACACACCCACACACACAATAAATTTAAATATGCATTAAGCATTATACCACTTCCACTCAGTATTTTACATTCCCTTTTAAAGATTTTCTAAATGTGAATTTAAACTATTTTAAGGACTATTATACAATAAACACAACATTCAATCTCATAAATTGAAAAATGTTCATGTGTGCATGTGTACCGTGTGACCTTGTTGATAAATACATGCACATGGTAATTTGACAATGGAATATATTCAATTTAATAGAAAGAAAAAAAAGTAACAGTAACAAAATCAGTAAGTAAATAAATAAATAATACTTGAGTGAGTGTGCGATAGGTTCAGTCCGCCGTGTGGGGGCAGACAGGAGCTGTGTTTTGGCTTCAGCCAATCAACGTCATTGATGGGTGGGGTTTGGTGAATCCAGCCAATCATATGTCTGGATGGGCGAATGTAGGTCTCTGTGGGTGTTGTCTTCAAGCAAAGTTTGATTGAGAGATCACACCACCACTGAAGGTTCTGCCAGGACGTTGCGTCTAATTTGGCTATTTTAACGAACATTACTAAACTGGTTTCTGCTCGTTTTATTTTTATTTATTTTTTTGCTTTATAGTTTTTATGATATCGAGCCGGACTGGTTGGTTGTTCAACAACAGGCTGAAAGGTAAGAACTGTTGAACTTGGGGCTGTTGATCATGCGAGTCTGACATATTTTGGGGTCCTCCGACAGGTAGTCAACTCTTTTATCTTACATTACCTAATTATGTGTCCTTTTCTAACCAGTCAATGTTTTATTTTACTCAATAGCCCTTCCTCCTATATTATTGTTTTCCTCTGCAGTATTTCTGTGTGTCTGTCGGTAATTAATTTCCTTTGAAATATGGTTGCATAAACAGCTGTTTGTTAAACTATGTTGTTATCAATGCGGTGGAAAAGAAGAAGACATAAAACAAGATAATAATATGTTTCCACGTCTATTTCGGTGCCTTTCCGTGATTATTCATTTATTCATGATCTCTTCCAGTAACGGCAGGCATGAGGATTGCACATCTTTCTCTGGAAATGCATCAGTTCCGCTGGGCTGCCTCGTGACTCCAGCAGCGACCGAGAGGTGGAGGAGGAGGAGGAAGGAGAGGACAATATATGATCCTCTGAAGCGCTTATGCACGCCTGGATCTGGAGGACCAGAGGACCAGCTGTACGGGGAGTTGCTGAAATGAGATGAGGCTCAGACATGGAACTGTTGCCACTGCGATTGTTTTCTTCACATCGTTTCTCAGTCTGTCCTGGTACACGGCTTGGCAAAATGGCAAAGGTGAGTTCATTTGTGAGAATCATTCAGTTATGCTGTATCACACATGCAAGAATGCGTTTGCTCTTAACTAAACATTACTACAGCACAAGTGCAAGTGTTATACACAAGTTCAACAAATGTATTGTTATCCAGTAATTTACAGTACATAGTAGATTTGGGCTTTTAGTTGGTTTATTACTAATCCGGCCAAAGAAAATAGTTCCAAACACTTACTCAACAAACTTTGTGTCACCCAAGCATCACTGAGTCTAAAATCTGGTTTTAAAAGTCATCAGCAAGATTCCCCTGCTACCCACTAGTCATTCAGTTATCACTCCGCTCCACCTGTTTTTTCATTTGTTACTCTAGTGAGAGAAACCCACTCTAACCGAACACTGAGTAAAATACAAGAAACACTTGTTGCGTCTGAAATCGCATACCCTTCTCAATAGGTAGTTCATTTGATCAAGAACTTGCTTGGCTAGTAACTGATCAAATATTTTTGTATAATGAATCTATGTAGTATGAATGGAATCCGGAGGGACTACATTCGACATGTTGTCAGTGTCATGTTACCCACAGCGTAAGTTGCATCAAAGCCACTTGAAGTCAAGCCTGCAAGGTTAGAAAAAAAGTGCAATGCCTGCTAACACTGGTATGCAGGGAAAAAGCCCTCTTGTTTTGAATGGATGTCAATGGAGGATAGGTTTCAATACGGTGAATAAACCGCTTTTGTTGTAAAACGGCTTATTTAACGAATCGACAGTCCACCGGCTGATCAACAACATGTTTGCTTTTATAAATTAGTTTTGGTTTACACTTTGGTTTATTTATTTTTACAAGCGAAAAAAAATGCCTTTTTATAAGAGAAGTCACAGACAATTGCGTGACAGGTATTATTCTGTTTACAGCACTTCTCATTAATTTCTATGGCATCTGCAAACAGAGATTGAATGTCACACAACTCTGAATAAAAATGAATGATGTCAAGACTGTAATGTGACTGGTTATCAAAGCACACTTGATCTTAGTTAGGCGATACGCTTTCTCTAATAGTATTTATTCTCCATCGTATCTCCCAATATTCGGACCAGTAATACAATAATAAGACTTGTGATGCAACCAGAACCATAGGCTAATCATATTGTGTTTGTTCATTTGCCAGAGGAGAACTGGTCTCCTGACTGAGCCTGGTTTCTCCCAAGGTTTTTATTTTCTCCATTCTGTCGCCTGATGGAGTTCGGGTTCCTTGCCCCTGTCGCCTCTGGCTTGCTTAGTTGGGGACACTTAATGCCAGTGCAACAATATTATTGATCTGACTGTATTGACGCTGATGAGAACTGAACTGAGCTCGACTCTGACATCATTTGTTGCAGAACTGCTTTATAGATGAAATTAACTAATTTAATAATTGATGATCTTTACAATGGAACTGAATCAACACTGAACTGACTTCAGTTGAACAACAGCTAAAATGCATAATTTTCCTGTTATCATTGCAAAGCTGTATTGAAATCTGTAATCTATATAAAGCGCTATATAAATAAAGCTGACTTGACTTCACTTAATCTCCCAGGTAGTTTTCGGCTACTGTTTTATGAATACTGTGAATTCGGATATCATGCTCTTTTCATGCACTGTTTTTTCCGGACTAACTGACTTCCTCAGCATCGCTCAGCTTGGCTGAATTCTGAATAGCATACTACTCATACTATTTCTGCCATATATGGATATGATATCAGTGCTTAAATATCGACATGCTTGGAATGCCACCTCACCAATCTATAGAAGACCAGAACTGGTGTATAATTAATACGCAATTCCTTAAAACAAACTAAGACACCTTTTTTTGTTTAATATCCATTTTTGGTGAAAGTGGCAGAGTGCGCACATTTTATTGAAGATATTATTTGTAGTATGGTATTTTGGCCTAAACTACTGAATACTTTGGTAATAATTTACAAGGTTCTTGATGGTTTAATAGCTGAGCTGGTGACCAAAAGGTTATAAGTTCAAACCCCACAAGAGGGGATCAATAAACTGATCATGGGGAGTGAGGCACCACAGGTTGTGAGAACACATCCACTATAGTTGCTGCACTAGTTGACATTAACCTTAAAGGAATTCAAATTTTCTGGCAATACATTGTCTAAAGGGAACTCTGGACATGTCTTAATCTTGGAAATTTGAGTTGAGAGAATAATACCCCAAGTACTCTAGTCGGAAATCGATGAGCTCTGGTGCACATTGTGACAGCTCATTGGTCTGTGGTCGATCATTCTCTAGTTAAATCCATTCCTGTATTGATTAGAATTGTATATTAAAGCAGAACATACAGTTCTATATGCTTGTTGATGATCTTTGTCAAACTCTAATCTGATCTGATTTTCGCTTCTGTTTTATGCAAGATTTCTCTTTGGGATTTAGCCAAATGTAGAGGTTGGCCAATTTGCATTCCACATCATTTATATTCCGAACACAAACAAATGGGAAAACATTTGTAATTGCTACGAGATGTTGTAACTCAATGCGTTATCACAGATATTTCATTCCATTTTCATGCAAGTGTTGTGACATTTTTGCTCTTTGGTATTTGGGAGATTTGTTTTGCAAATACGTTTGTTTGATTCTGGTGAATTGAATTCTGCAAAATTACATTTGCAAGTCTGCATCTCTTTTTTTTTCCTCTACCATTTTATTAAGCAGTACACACACACATTCACACACATATACAGACATTTAGCTTACTATAGGTTATATTTGTATCTTTGTACCATCTAGCTATAAACAGCATCTTCAATAAAATCAACCTTAAAATGAACCTTTTGACTCAAGGCTGTATAGGCTAGTAGACCACAGTCCTGGAGAGGAATCTTAAAAATTTCCTCTCCCCAAAATACCTTTTTTTTTTTTAAATATAACATCACATTCATCATGTCTTTGGAAAACTGTTAATCCTTCATCCTGTTAAGGTTAATTTCGTTGAGGATCCTCCTGTTTATAGCTTGAAGGTACAACGAGACACTTGTGTGTCAACTTGTTGGATTCATCTCTGAAATGTAAGCTAAATCTAAAAAAATGTGATGCATAAATTCAGCTGATGAATATTGTAGTAAGGTAAAGCTTTAAGAGAGAAAGGTCAACGAATTCAATGACATGAAACCCTCTCACATATGTACGCACCTCGGAAGTTCGTGTAGGGCATTGATGTCACTGTATAGTGACTCATTATCGCATAGCTCGATGCCACTCGGGTCTGAATAATTCTCTTATTGACTTTCTGCTATGTTGCCTTTTCTCTGTCAGGCCTGCTCTGCATGATATTGAGTGTTGTTTGCTGTTTGTATGGGCCAACACTTTTACAATCTTGCAATTTCAGTCTTATTGCACAGCTATTTCCTTTTAAGGTTTAAAGTTCAACCTGATTAGAACTTTAATATATTTGCAGTTGTTGTGGGTGTCTTATTGGTATGCAATGCTCTTTTTCATATTATATACTTGTCACTTATATCTTATCGGTAGTTGATTTGTTCACTTCAGTGAATGCTGTATGAAATAGAAAGTAAAGTAGGGTTGTGCTCTGCTGAGTCAGTAATGAATATGGTCTTGTGATGCATCATGGTTTATTAAATCATATGTATTGTGTCATAACAAGCTTGTTCAAATTACAAATTAAACAGAATGCGGCAGGGGATTGTGTGCTTTAATCAACTCAATGATCATTGCTTTACGGTTTTAATAACCCTTTCAATGCCACTGCAACAACTTATATTTACTTAGATTATTAAGTATTTTGTTAATTTTTATGTAACTTTAAAACAATGCACACTATGGTTCATACAGTTGGGCTCTTTAAGATTTTGTTTTTAAAAGAAGATTTCTATTTTATATAAATGCTGTTTTATTTATTACTTTCTATTCATCAAATAATCCTGGAAAATGTATTCCGTTTTCCATAAAAATATTAAGCAACTGTTTTCAACAAGAAATATTTCTTGAGCTTCAAAACAGCATATTACTGTAGAATGATTTCTGAAAGATAATGTGGCACTGAAGACTAGTGAAAGAAAATTCAGCTTTGCCATCACATGAATAAATTTCATTTAAAAAAAAAGTTTAACAATGTTACTGTTTTTACTGTATTTTTGCTTTGATTAACATTATTTTTAATTAAGGGCTTAGGCTTCTGTAGTTTACTGTGGCACTTAACTGAAAGGTTAGCTTCAGAGCTCAAAAGTGTTGATCTGTGACTCTTCATTATGCCTTTTGATCAAAGCACTTAACCTCAGGTTGCTCCAGGGGGCCCTTTAATATGTTCGCTGGAAGTTACTTTGGATAGAAGTGACCGCTAAATCAAATTAGTAATGAGATGGCACCCTTACATCACTCCACTTGCCCTACTGTTCTAGTACCAGAGATTGAAATTGCACCATTGGCTTATACCTCCTGTTTTCTTTTCTTTTCCTCCGCTGAGCCCACAGAGGCTTTGCATCCGCAGGGTGTGTGGAAAACACAATGGGCCAAAAATAGCAGAGCAGTGAGGAAGGGCACAGTTTTCTAATGGAGCTCACGGAGAAGACTCTAACGCTCATCACATACACTTAATGCTTGTGCTTCTGTTTGGGCTGGATTGTTTCGCTTCGGGAGGAGCCCATTCGTGCCCTGTCGAGAGGTTAGCAAGGGGGCCGTGTTAAGCACGCTTCCGGTTTGAGAGAGAAAGAGTTAAACAATGGAAAGACAATAAACTCTGAGACTTTGAGAACAGGAGTTTCACCATGTAAGGAACCAGAATGTTCTCATTAATAACCATCGTCTTGTTCAGAGTGATGCTCGTTGCATAATTCCCTGCTCTGGCTCTAAGATCATTCCAGATCATTCTGTGTTATCAGCGTTTCAGACAAGTCCTCATTGAGTCGCCATTATACACTTATCACTGTGGTATTCTTTGCCATTCTTCCTCCATATTAGGCTGGAGAACGCAGGCATTGTCGTTGAGTCCTTGAACATTTCCAGCCCTTGAC